GGTTTGTTTGAACTGTAATTTTGTCCTAGCCAGTCTTCTCACATCACCCCCTTTCTCTTATCTACCATGTCAACCTTCCGGTCAATGGGTAAGTATAAACCCCTACTCTCTCTTTCTCTACTCGACTTAGCTTCTTTCTCGAGTCTCTCTCTCTCTTCCAATGCAGTTTTATTGGTTCCTTTCCTAGCGTGAAAATCTCCATAAGACAACCTATTCCATCAACAATACCACAAAGTTGTCGAGAGCTCACATTTTGTGCTCCACCAGATTACCTATCTCAACCCCAATATCTATGTTTCTTCACGTACCAACCTATATTATGTTTTGACCCCATCCAAATAGAGTGCAGACACCCCACACCCTATGCCGAAAAGTCTGGAAGACTGAACTTTCAGCCTCCAACCGCCACCTCCCGCTTCACATTAGTCGCCTCTACCTCCTCTCGCTCGCCCGAGCTTCCCGATGCCATCACTCTCGCTCGTGTGGCCGAGTCAGCTCAAACGCCCCTCTTCATGGGTCAACGTTGTCTTGTGCACCGACTCCAGCTGTTACCTCGACGTGCCTCAAAGCGGCTGATACCCACAAGTGCAGGAGATCATTTGTATATCTTTTTCATAAGTATGAATGTCAAACCCAACTAATAACAAAAGAAAATGGCGCATTAAAAAATAAATGGAAATGACCACAAAATATAAATGAAGTGATAATGTGCTTCAAAGTAGCATTACTTCAAAGTGTTGTGAAATAGAAAGTTTATGAGCTTTATATTCACTATTAGAAAAAAAGTTAACATTGTTCGCGCAATACTGACCGACCATAGGCCATAGGTTAGTGGTTCGATCATCACTGACCGACCCACCCAGGGTTAGTGATAAGGCCCCGAGGGGTCGACTGGAAAGTTATCACTAACTAACCATAGGACGATCGGGTAATAATAATTGGCTTTTGTCAATCTTCGATAGCTAAAGTTGACCATTTATCATCACTGATTGGTTGCTTACTATAGTTCGTCGGTGATAATGCATTAACACTAACGCCGTGTTGCACCCTAAGATTTTGACCCAACCCATTTACCAGGGAAAAAAAAATAAAAGGTCAATCTCTATTGACCTCTACCCTATCCTAACAAATTGGTTTGGATCCACCGTATCCATGTATATGCTATTAAGACCTTATTTGTTAATGTAAAATTCTATTTACTTGTTTAAGCTTTGACTATATTTTTATGGTATGCAATACATACTCATGAAATTACTAATTTTAAACTATCATATTTGTTAGGCCCACTGTACCCGGTTCTCACTATATATTATTTAAAGTGAACAAGCACCAGCCTTGGGCAGAGGGGATGACCCCGCCGGTGCCAACACCACTGCGAAA